ATTGGAATCCCACAATAAAATTTCCCTTTATATTTCTCCCATACACTTGTTAATGCTTTTCTTATTATATTATTATCAAAAGCTTTGTGCACTTTCTTTTTCCCATACCATAAGTATGCGATGAAGTCCATATTTAAAATCTTTGCTTTCTAGTATTAATATTTTTTCATCCTCCAGTCTTATCCACACTCTTAATCATTGTAGTCCTGAAGGCTCCTGGAAGGCACTCTCAGACCCTATGGAGGCTTCCCCCACCCTCACCCCCGCTGGCCCAGCAGGCTGAAATTCCCAGATTATTTTTTTCCTGTTTTCTTCTCCTAAAAATTTGGTGAGTTTTATGGAGAGGTCCGTTTTACGGAACACACCCAAGGACCCTTTGGAGGCTCATCCAGCCCCCCCAGGGGCCACAGGGGGCAAAATCGCCACCTTCAGGGCCTCTTCTGAAGCTTCCCAAGCCTCAAAAGAGTCCCAGAAGGTGGCGATTTCGCCCCTCTGGCCCCATGGGGGGGGCAGGGTGAGCCTCCAAAGAGTCCTGGAACACACCCTAAGACCCTTTGGAGGCTCACCCTGCCCCCCTGCAGGGCCAGAGGGGGCAAAATCGCCACCTTTAGGGACTCTTCTGAAGCTTCCCAAGTCTTAAGAGTCCCTGAAGGTGGTGATTTCGCTCCATAAAATGCATACATTTTCCCCCTGACTTTTTTTTGGGGAAAAGTGCCTCTTATGGAGCGAACAATACGGTATTTATTATTATTGGGACTCAACCCTGAGTGCTCACTGGAAGGACAGATCCTGAAGCTGAGGCTCCAATACTTTGGCCATCTCATGAGAAGAGAAGACTCCCTGGAAAAGACCCTGATGGGAAAGTGTGAGGGCAAGAGGAGAAGGGGACGACGAAAGATGAGATGGTTGGACAGTGTCATCAAAGCTACCAACATGAATTTGATCCAACTCTGGGAGGCAGTGGGTCAAAGGCAGTGGAAGACAGGAGGGCCTGGCATGCTCTAGTCCATGGGGTCACGAAGAGTCGCACATGACTGAACAACTAAACAACAACAACATTATCGGGATATTCTGAAATAGGAATACAAATATAGGTAATACTATAATTTTGATAATTGCTATTCTGCCCATCAATGAGATTTTTACATGTTCCCATCTTTCTAATTTTTTCTTAATTTCTTTCCCTTTCTTCTAATAATTTTGTTCAAATAAGTCCTTTGTCTTTTTAGTTATTGTTATACCCAGGTATCTTACTTTATTCACTACTTTATAACCTGTCTTAATTTCTAATTCTTTCTCTTCTTTTCCTATCATATTTTTGTTAATATATTAGTTTTTCCTTCATTTATAATTAAACTTGTTTGTTCTTCAAAGTCACTGATTATTTCTTAAAGTTTAATAATATTACATGATGGGTCTTCCAGAAAGATTACCATATCATCCACAAAGGCTCTTACTTTAAGGTGCTGCTTTTCAATTTTTAAACCTTTAACTTGTTCCTCTTTTCTTATTTTCCTTAGTAGTACCTCCAATGTTTTGAACACTAGGGGTGAGAGTGGACATCCTTGGTGTGTTCCTTTAGAAATCTGATTGATTAGTTTTCTCTCCATTTACTATTGTTCTTCCATTTTGTTTGCTATATATGCTTTTTATCCATTTTAAAAAATTATCTCCTACTTGTATTGTGTCTAGAACTAACATAAATTCCCAATTAATATTATCAAATGCTTTTTCCGCATCTAGAAAAAACATTCCTAACTTCTCCAGATGTTGTTCATAGAATTCCAACACATCTATTACCAATCTTACATTTTGACTCATATGTCTTTGTGGTAAGAATCTTGTTTGATCTTACCCAATCCATTCCTTTAATACCCTCTTGAATCTCTCTGCTAATATTTTAGCAAATATTTTGTAATCTACATTTAACAGTGATATAGGTCTATAATTTTCTGGATCTCTGTTTTCTTTGGGGATAATTATGATGTTGGCTTCTCTCCATGTTTCTGGGCATCCTTCCAGTAAAATTTGATTTATTATTTCTTTTAATGGAGATGTCAGTTCCTCTGATAATTTTTTTATAATATAGTGTGGGAAAGCCATATGGGCCTGGTGTTGTTCCCTGTTTTAGTTTTTTTATTGCCTCTTGTACTTCATTGTCAATATTGGGGCATTTAATCTAATTCTGGTCAATATTCCCAAAAGAATCCATTATTTGCTATTATGTTAATTTAAACATACTGGAAAGACTTCATCTTTGTTAAATAGGTCTATTCCTTTGTTTGAAGCAACAACATTAATGTAAAGTATTATTCAATGATGTGCTATCAGGATACTGATTGTGTATGTTCTATTCAACTTGAATGCAATTCTTCTGGAATTTAGATTTTTTAAATTCAGATAAGAGGGTACTCTGCTGTTGATCAGATCATATCTGACAATAATATATTCAGGAACTGAAGACACAAATAACAAAAGGTTTAAGTAAGAAAAGAGCAAGTACAAGACATGGCTTACAACACCGCAAAAAAAATGCATTTGCAGTCTATTTAATGAATCTGAAAAAAATTTGTATAAGCATTTCTTGTGCTCATAAACATTCAGGAACCAGCCATAAAGGTAGATAAAACCAACTTGATGCATACTTACTTCTCTTGATTGCTGCTTTAATGGATGACAGGGGGCCTTGGCTTGGAAAAAAGACAGAGAAAACAAAGAAATCAATATACTTTGTAGAATTTTTTTTAAAAAAGTTCACATTTACATGGAATTCACTCTAAAAGCATAAGGCATCTTCCATGTCTACTACCTGCTAAAGTCTATTTCTGGTTCTATAGAAGTTACTTTCAAACTTCAAAGCATCCACCCACATAATAAAGAGATGCAAGATATAATCAAGTTGAAATAACTGAAGTTTAACTACTAGTTAAACTAGCCACCTAGAGTGGCCACAATGACCAGATAGGCGGGGTATAAATGGAATAAATAAATAAATAAATAAATAAATAAATAAATAAATAAATAAATTAAATGATTATTTGCTCCAGATTACATGTTGAAGTTCATTTATATCTGCTACAACCCTTTTCATGCAATTCCCACCACATGACTGTAATCACATAATGGCAAAGACTAAACAAAGGTCTCCAGCCATCCCATTTTCCTGATCATCTAGCAGTTGATAGAAAGGAAAGCCTCTGTGTACAGTGGAGGTCAAAAGAAGAAAAGTTCTCCCCCTAGTGGTAGAATATGGATTAACCAGCTTTGCATTAGTTCCTATGGGAACTAATGCTTCAACCTATGAATGGCGCCTCTACATAAGAACCAAAAACAGCTGGAACTGATTATTCAGTTTTCAATGTATTCCTATGGGAAATTTTGCTTCTACTTACAAACGTTTCAACTAACGAACATCTTCTAGGATGGATTAAGTTAGTAAGTAGAGGTTCCACTACATAAGCTCTCCCATGAATTTGAACCATCTGTGTAAAGTGGGGCTTTCCTTTAGAGACACTCTGCTGTTCCCCATACGCAAGGACAGCACAGAAGCTGAAGCCAGCAGATGTAGCCTCAATATCCTAATTCACAGAATTATAGTGATTTGAACAATAACATCTAAAAAAGGCTCCCATCTTAACAGTGAAAGCTGCCTATTAAGAAGCCACTTGTTTGTAAACTTTATTACATCTTACATGCAAGACTTCTATTTTGAGTGTGGTTGATGTAGATTGAAAGTTCAAAATATTTGTAATTGTTAAGTTTGAGAATTTTTTTTCAGCAAAAACCCCTAGTTTTGTTTATGTAGATGCAGGATGTTGTGTATGTAAAGTGACAACTAGTGAGAGTGTGTTTATATATAAACAATCTTTATCTCATAGTCCAAACTGGACTGTTCAAAATGTTTCTATTCCCCCTCATATATACGAACAACAGAGAGAAAGATCTGAGCAAGTCTGCATATCAGAGCCACAACTTCAAAATGTTAAGCATAAGATATACATGGATAATCTAAAATGTGCATTATATGACTGCACAGGGTTAACCTTTAAAAAGAGCGGAGGACCTTTGGAGCAAACATAAGGCAATCTTTTTTCAAAGCTATTTTTTTTCCTTCTGAGAAAAATAACTCCAAATAGCAGGTGATTTTTTTCTGATTTTTTGAAACATCTTCATCAATAAAATACAAACATTTAGGAGTGTGTCAGGAGATTAACCATCTCATTTTCTAAATAAAGAACTAGTAAGTAGGTAAAAAAAACACAACAATGCACAGAAGAGACAGGTCAAATAGAAAAAAGCCAAAGAAGTACAGTATTGTAAATGTTGGAAATGCTCTCTGGAAAATTTATATACAGATGTGAGATCTAGCACTCCAGGGAAGTGGTACTTTGAACTGAACATAATGAATGCTTCTTCTGTGAAACAGCACAAAACAAGGCATTCTGCTCTTACAGGTTATGCTGTCCTAGCAATACCTACTGCACAACTTCCTATCCCAAACCAGATGTGCACAAAATACAGCATGTTCTGTTTTACAGTGACTTCTATAACTTGACAACAGTCAGACGCACACCTGGATGTAGTCACAAAGCTTGCAACTACGCTAAGATTAACAGCCATTTCTAGGGCAAGTCAATGAATATGTTTATTAATTATAGTATACTAGCTTCAATGACTGCTGAAGAAAGCAGGAAATCTAGATTCTCTCTACCAAGTATATGCTGGTTACAGCCAATTCAGGTTTGTGAAATCTCTATTAGAACAAAAAATGGCTAAATGGCTTCTCAAAGAAAGAAGGTGCCTACTCAGACTGCCTAAGGCCTGCTTCACATATATTTTTCTCTAAATCTTCTGGAACGGATTAAGTTAGTTAAGTTAGGATACAGGTTCCACTGTATCCTGAGCAAATACTATGTCACAAGTATGGTGCCTCAACTTACGAATTTAATTGGTTCCGGAACTCCGGTTGTAGCTCAAAATTGTCGTAAGTCGAAGCACCATTTCCCAAAGAATGCACTGAAATGCAATTAATCCGGCCGAAGAAAAAAATTACCAAAATAATAATAAGAATAAGAATTAAAAAAACAAAAAACACTGCAAGACCAATTGGAAATGTGATTCATCTGTTCCAGCTGAAGTGGGGGGAAAAGAAAAGCAAACAAATCATGCAAGACCCTTCAGAAGTGCAAAAAACCCAAAGCAAAAAGCAAACCGTGCAAGACACATCAGAAATGCAAAAAAAGCAAAGCAGAAAGCAAACAAACCCTGCAAGACCCATCAGAAATTGGGAGAAAAAACCAAAAAACAAACCCTGCAAGACCCATCACAGCATAGAAACATAACCCCATCACCCAGCCTAAAATCACGCTGCAAACCCCACCCAGAACAGTTTTTAAAAAGTAGAAAGCAGCACCTTACCTTACCAGGCAGTCTGAAGCTGCCTCCGATCGCACACTCTCTAACCGCTGGGGCAAAAGACCTACAAAGAAGCAGCCTCTTCGCCACCAACGGTTAGCAATTTGAATTCCCCGCCTTTTTCCCTGCCTTTTTCTGGTTGTAATTCAAGGCTCTGGTCGCAAGTCAGAGCAAAATTTTGCGGCCGGAGTCTATCATAACTCGAAATGGTTGTATGTTGGGACGTTTGTAAGTCAAGGCACCACCGTACTATGTGATGAGGATATGAATCACAACCCACTGAATAACAAAGCAAAAAGTATCTCACTTCATGTGCCTTTTTTTAGCCCATAAGATATATTTTCTTGTAGAAAAAATGGTGGTCAGTATCCTATTGATACTGCATCCTATTGACACCACCACAGTAACGTGTGACTGAACAGCTTGCACAGATATTACTGTTGAGCAAGCAGAGGGCAGATTTCCTTCACAAAGATCAGTACTTCCAAAACACAAATTCTGCAATTAGTACAATCCTGTATTACTAAAGTGTTTGGACTTTCCACTCAGTAGAGGCTCAGCAGGATACTGGCTCATATGTTACGTGGCTACAAGTCAGGATCTTCACATTACCAAATCCACAGATGCCACCACCTTAGTCACAAGCTTGCCTTGGCTTAATGTGGGTATCTGAATACTGAGTTGATATTTATGCAACAGTACTTCCTTCACTCCACCTCACCAACACAGCCCCAATATCAAATTATCATTATTGGTACCAGAGAAAGAACTTGTAGCAAAAAACTTCCTCTGCCCGAGCAGTTTTCTGCTTGTGCAAAATCTGGGTACAACAATGGGATACTGTTTATACTTGTGTTTGTAACTCACTGCTGTTGAACAATTTAAAGTTACTGTTACCTAGCAATGAGAATGAATTAGATATAAACCTACAGTAAATTGGATGGCCCTGCTTAAAACTCCAGAAGCTCATTATCTTGTCCTATGAATGTCAACTCCGAATTTTAAGTTCTGAGAACAAATTCCATGGGGCTTATTGCCACATAAATATGCATAGAATTGGACTCTGGATTTCATTAATTTATTTGGTCCAGAGAACACTTTTTCCCATTATTACACAAAGCAACAGTTCTGTTATTGTTATAGTAACAGCTACAGTAGCTAACATAAACGTGCTTGAAAATAGTATCAATCTTAAGTGCTCGCTGGGAGTGTCTAAGAATTGTTTTCTATTTTTATATTTCAGAATGGTGTGATTATATGTCATTGGTAGAACAAAAAGATAGATGAATGCTTCTTGGTTTTACAGCCTTGGAAACTGATAACAGCTGAAATATTTCCAAATCCCTTGAAATCTCTGCCAGCCTTTCATGTTGCAGATTACAAGAAATGTTGGCCATAATCGTCTTGCATAAAGTTATAAACCCCCCCCCCCACAAGCTGATGATGTCGTCAGCTATAGGCTCTTATTACTTATTTAAAGTTTCCTACTCTTCCTCCATCCCCAGGTTCCGTGGGATCCCCTTTGAATAGACGAAGCCTTTGGAAGCCTCAGGACGGGGACGGAGCCTTTAAGGCCTAAAAAGCACTGCCGTTGCTCCCACCTCAGTAGTAGAATAGAAAACTTTTAATGTGTGACAAAAGCCCACAGATCATCAGCTTGCGCAGGCATAATGTTATGCAAGAGGGGTCTGGCCACTGTAAACAGAGGGAAGAAACAGTTCTTCCAACACATGGTTTTGCCTCCTTTATTGTCACTTATCGAGGAATCATGGAATTAATTAGTATATCAGGCAAAACCAAAAGAAAAATAAAACCTCACTGATTAAGCACCATTGACACTTTCAGAGTTACACTGATATATTCCTCCTTAATAATTTAAATACTTTATTTATATAAAATATCCAACTGTGACAACAGAGTTTTTGTAATGTAGGGGATCATTTAACCCCCCCTCCCCTTTCATATGACATGCCATTCTGCTGCCTCAGACGTTTAAGGTATCCTGCTACATGTGCAGATCAAGCCCTGAGAAACCTCTAGGAAGACAAAGATGCAGGCACCTCTAACGGCTTTCCACTGTAGCCATTTGTCAACCATTACAATCCTCCATCATTGTCCTTCCCTCGTGAGCCTCAGCTGGCTATTCTGAAGCACGAGTCAAGACACAGGGAGTAAAACTCTGCCAAAACATCTGCTGCTATTCATACTGTGAGGGAGGGGGGCTAAACAGTCCCCTGTCTGTGTTGGAATTGTATATGAATGACTCATTGGGTGG